TCGTAGAGGACACTACGTACTTTTTATTGTCTCACCTATCTTTTCCTCTTTCGGGGTGGAGGGTGGGATTTGAACCCGGGTCGAAGGCTCCGGCGAGCCGAGCGGGGTCGTCGTGCCATCGATCGGTCACTTAGCATTACTGTTATTGTTGTTATTGTTGGTGTGCGATCTCGCCAAGACGACGTCGCGGCGCTGCAGCCGCGCTGCTCCGGGAGGGAAAACACGGCCGGACTGCACTCGAGTCGTGTGCAATTCCGATGCAAATTTTCCCACGGACTCTCGCAGAGATTGCTCTGCAGTCAAAACGAGTATTACATGAAAATTTATGCAATTTTAATACGTCCGCGCGTCTGTTCTGATTCTCTCGGCGGTATCGTGCACGCTTAAGACCTTAAAGGATGTATTTTGAGCGCCTACTCTACGAATTTTCCTCCGTGTGTGACAAACCAAATAGTTTAACCATTTGATTTGTCACACGGAGGAAAATTCGTAAATTACCAGGGATTTTTTCTGTGAGGGCATGTATGCTCAAAATACTTTGTTGTGACAAGCTTTTCCTTGTAAGGCCCAAAATAATTTCTAAGGTTGCGAGAGTGTACCAGTTAAGACACCTCAGGGACGCTGGTCGCCAATTTGGATCCCCCTTGTCATTGGTGTGTTTTTGAGTATTCGTCGAGGTGCCTGTCTTTCGTCCCTGTGGGCCGGCGTTTCGCGTCAGCCGGCACGCCCCACAACGCCCCGGCACGCCTCGGCACGCCCCCACCCTGCCACGTGACACGTCACGTGACTCGCTGGCGCAGCAGCGGCGCGACCTTGGGCCTCCCGCACCCTGTCAGAAAAATTAAAATCCTTTCCTTGGCGCCGCTTTTTAGTTAAGCAGCTTGATAAATTTCACTGCGTGTCGGCCGCGCCGTACGATAAGAGCCAACTAATGATGCCGTCCCGAGTCGGCTATGAAACAATGCTATGGCGCTCTCGCGCGTCTCTTGCGCGGGTCGCGGATCAATTGTTTTCACTCCGTTTTTTGTGACTGTGGGCACGCATAGCTTGGCGTTGTGCTACGTGGGTGACGTGCGTGTGTGCGTGCGTGCGTGTGTGCGCGCCGTGTGTGCTATGGGTCCTGATGGCGCTGAGGGAGGAGGGGGAAGTCCACACAGAGAAGGCGCTCCGCCGTCACTCGACCATTTTTATTTCGTATTGATTCGGTGGGCGGGCCGGGCTGTAGTGGCGGGGCGTGGCGGGGCGTGGCGGGGCGTGGCGTGGCGGCGTCGCTGCTTTCCCAAGTGGGGTTCGGGGGTCCTCTCGGTCGGTCCGCGCGGACGTCATCGTGGACGTGCATGTCGCGATGGAGCCGTCCCGATTGATTTCTGGGCCCGGCCGGCCGGCCTGGCTGGCGTGACACCGGCCATGACGGGGCGAGCACGGCATGGGCCCCGCCCCGCCCCGCCCCGCCACGGGATACCCGATGCTTATCACGGGACGAACCGCGTGCCGGCATGGCGGCCTAGCTCTGGATTCCTCCGCCCAGTGCAGTACGGCAGCTGTCTCCGTCGCACTCACAGGGCCCCCCGTAAGGACGCGAGAGAGGCAGTTGGCCAGGGCGTCGTCACCGTCCGGGCCGACCCCCGAACGCGTGGTCGACGGCCCGGGCCCCCAGTGTAAACAAACGAACGAGAGCGTAAAGGCAATCTGCCTCAATCTGCGCCATTTCCCCGGCCGTCTCGGATTTCACGCGAGTGCGCGGCCAGAGGCGGCCAGGGGGCGGCAGAGGGCGGCGGCCTGGAACCCTGCAACTCTGGAACTCCAGCCGACGGACGGACATTTGCATACTGCATATGAAAGAAAGCCTCGAAAGGAAAACCTCGCCTCCGTTTTTCGGACGAATAAACAGTGGCGTCGCCGCCACCGCCGCGCCGCCGCCCCCGCGGCCACTGACCGAGGGGAGGGCGCGGCGTGATGGCGGGGCGGGGCGCGGCGCGGCGGGGTGGGGCGGGGTGGGGCCAGAGGGCGCGGCGCGACGAATAATATTAATCCAGACGCGACCGCCGAGTAAAATCCACTTAGGCCGCATTCATGGCGACAGTTAATCACTCAAGTGCAACGGGTCGCGCGCGCGACCCCTTATCACTGGCGGGGCAGTGGGCCGCGGGGCGGGGCGTGGCGGGGCGGCGCCAGCCTCCCCCGCGGATCAGATGTCGCTGCGATACGCGCGGCGGGTCTGGCTGGCTGGCTGGCTGCCTTCCTGGTGCACTAAAGCACGGCACTAGTTTGCAGGCAAATTAAGCGCGCCTGATTACCGCCAACGATCGCGGCGTGCAGCGGCGGTCCCGGGTTCGAATCCCCGCGCGGCGCGCAGTGATTTCTGATTTCTCTGCGAACACGAAACGGAGGCCACTGATTTAGCCGCGTCCTCTCAGAACAAGACAGCGCCGTTCCGTTAAATTGGGCAATGACGACCGCTTTAGGTACAGTCGCGGTGATGGCTCTCACACACACATGCACACACACGCACACTCAGCGGACAGTGCCACTTTTACGGTGGGCCAGCGTCGCTGAGTCACTGCCGCGCTGCTCTTCATGTCGAGAAAGCGTGCACCGAATACGGAAGTCTGTCGGTGTTGAACCGCGGCTGCTCCTCCGCGCCTCTCCGCGGCGGCCGAGGTGTCGGCGACCTTGTTTCCCGCGCGGCGGTACAACGGTTCGAGTCCCGGCTAGCCGCGTTTTGGTCCGGGAGGTGTCTGGTTGCTGCCGCGCTGCCGCTGCACTGCGGGGCCGCGGGGCGGGGCGGCGAGGCAATCGCCACCTGCACCATAAATCAGGGCGGCATAACGAAACACGCATGAGTCACACCGCGTTACGTTACGAGAGCAGCGCCGAGCTGCAGGCCGCGCTCTGTCTCTGTCGCGCTCACGCGCCGTCCGCAGGGGCGCGAGAGAGACGGAGCGGCCGAGGAGGCCGAGGAGGCCGAGGCAGAGATGAGTGTCGCTATTCAATAAGGCCGTGGGCCCGCGGGGGGGCCTTTCCGCGCCCACCCGCGGCAGGGCGGCAGGGCGGCCGGGGGCTCGCCGCGGTCGTGCCCCTCTAGTGCCCCCTCCCCCTGCGGGACCCCCAGCGGGGCTCCGCGGGCCCCGCCCATCCATCAGGCGCCTGATGGGGCTCCTGTCGCCTCTCTTGTCTTCCGTGATCGAGCACCGCTGGTTGCCACCGGACCGGGCGGCCGGCTCGGCTGGCCCCGCCGGCCTCCCCGGCCCCGCCGCTGCCCAGGTCGCCGTCGTGGCCGAGAGCCAGGAACCCGCTGGGCCCAAATTGATGTCACTCGCCTGCAGTTTTGGAATGTTTCGCTCGCGGCCGGCCGGTGACTCATACGGGGTGGCGCTCCATGAACACCCTGCAGGGCCTTGCCAGCTGTTGTCCGAGTAGGAAGCAAAGCCGGGTATTTGCGGTGCAACGTCGCGGATTTTTCTTGGGCACTTTCCTTGAATTTTGATCAGGACAGTTGCGATTTCCGGCACTTCTCTTTGGCAGATGCGTGTTTCTTGACAATTTGAATTTGAAACGTCCCGTTGAACTTGGTGAACTTTGCGCACTCGATCCCAGTCAGGCGCGTTCCCTCGTGCCCGCTGCGTGCGCTGCGTTGCGTGGGCGCTCGGCTCATTCGTCTTGGCCCGAGTGACGTTCGGCAGCACGGCGCTCTGTCTCGCTCCTGCGTCGGGGTGCGGTGTGGGTGCGACGGAGACAGAGCGCTGTTCGGGGAGCCTGCCGGCGCCGGGGGCACGACGAATTTGAAGCGCTCCGATGGCTGCTCGACCTCGCTGTCGTTTGAACCTGGCCACCGACACCCCTCACTAACAGCGTGTTCTCCTTGCAGATCTCCCGCTTGCGTCGCATGGCCACTCACCACCATGGGGCCTGCAGGGCGGGCCGCCGGCAGTAGAGGCAGCAGCAGCGACCCCCCGGGCAGCAGTAGGCCCGCCCGCCAGCGCCAGCTCCCAGCAGCGCCGCGCCAGCTCGCGCCCCGCGAGCCGCGGCGGGCCCCCCCCTGCACTCTGGCGCTGGAGATCATGGACATGACGGCGAGCGAGCCACCCGCACCACCCGCACCCGGTGGTACGAGGTCCCGCGGCTTGCCATGAACCAATCGCCGTCGCCCTGACCGTCTGACGCGGGGAATCCAAGGCCGGCAACAGTGCATAATGCTTGCGTTCGCAAGTTATTACTTGCAATTGTAGGAAACGCATACACCACGCAAGGTGTTCCTTGCAAAAATGTCATTTGCAGATCAAAATGCAAGGCTTGCCTTGCATTTTGCCTTGCACTTGGCCGAATCGCAAAAGTCGGGACCACAGTGTGTTGTCCGAGTAGAAAGCAAAGCCGGGTATTTGCGGTGCAACGTCGCGGATTTTTCTTGGGCACTTTCCTTGAATTTTGATCAGGACAGTTGCGATTTCCGGCACTTCTCTTTGGCAGATGCGTGTTTCTTGACAATTTGAATTTGAAACGTCCCGTTGAACTTGGTGAACTTTTTGCGCACTCGATCCCATCTCGGCGCCGTTCGGTTCCCTCGTGCCCGCTGCGTGCGCTGCGTTGCGTGGGCGCTCGGCTCATTCGTCTTGGCCCGAGTGACGTTCGGCAGCACGGCGCTCTGTCTCGCTCGCCGCGTGGGGCGTGCGGTGTGGGTGCGACGGAGACAGAGCGCTGTTCGGGATGAGCCTGCGGCGGCGCGGGGGGCACGACGAATTTGAAGCGCTCCGATGGCTGCTCGACCTCGCTCGTCGTTTGAACCTGGCCACCGACACCCCTCACTAACAGCGTGTTCTCCTTGCAGATCTCCCCGCTTGCGTCGCATGGCCACTCACCACCATGGGGCCTGCAGGGCGGGCCGCCGGCAGTAGAGGCAGCAGCAGCGACCCCCCCGGGCAGCAGTAGCCCCGCCGCGCCCCGCCGCGCCCCGCTCCCAGCAGCGCCGCGCCAGCTCGCGCCCCGCGAGCCGGCTCGGGGCCCCCCGCCTGCACTCTGGCGCTGGAGATCATGGACATGACGGCGAGCGAGCACCACCCGCACCACCCGCACCACCGGTGGTACGAGGTCCCGCGGCTTGCCATGAACCAATCGCCGTCGCACCACCTGCCCGCCATGAGCGCGGAGGACATCCTGGCCGGCAACGGCGGCCTCAACGCGTCGCCGGACCTGCTGGGCCAGCACCAGTCCGGCGGCCACCCCGGCGGCGGCCACCAGGAGATGTCGGGCTCGAGCATGGCCGAGCACATGTCCTCCTTCTTCCACCACTCGGCGGCCGCGTCCCTCGCGGCGGCCGCGGTGTCGGACGGCTCGCCGTCGTCCAACGGCCGCCCCGGCGACTACTCGTCGCACCAGCGGGCGGCGGCCGCGGCGCGCTACTACCACACCTCCATGCACTCCCCCTACGCCGCGACACACGGTGAGTACACTGCTATCAAGCAAGAAGCCATTTATTCGTGGTGGTTATCGGAGCGCGTGATAGTCCCCTGTCTCGTCTTGTTACACGGCTGTCCGTGTCCAGACTGTCCGGCGTGTCTGGTGGGTTCGGTAGCCTCGTCCCATGAAGACAACAAACCTGCCGGGCTGCAGGCCGGCGGCCCCATTGGGCCCCAGTGGGGGCCCCATCGGGCCGAGAACGGCACGGCATTGTCTGCCCACACTCGACAATGTCAACCTGACGTCGAGTAAAGACGCCGTCCGCCCGGCGATCGATCAAAAAGCCAAGACTTTATTTTTCGTGTTTCGGTGGAAGTTTCCCTGTAAGGGGTGCGCGCTCGCCGCGCTCGCCGCGCTCGCGGTCCGGGCAGCCGGTTTGGGAGGTCGCGGCCGCGGCTCCCAGCTGGCTGCCGAGCACAGCGTCACCTTGGCCGTGGCGGGGCGGAAGAGGCCGCGGCGGCCCGGGGCTGTTTGGACACCGCGACACACCAACAGCCATCACCGCCAGGTGCCCCCGGCACTCATTCGTCGCTCTGTCTCTCTCGCACTCCCGCGGAACGCCCGGAGTGCCTCACGAGTGCGACAGAGACAGAGCTTCGAGAGCCCTGTTCGCGGAATCTGTGTGGTGCTGAGGCCGTGCGACCCGCTCGCGGCCACCGCCACCGTCGATACCGATTTCCACTTGGCACTCGACTAGTTATCCATCGGGCCGTGCGGTGCAGTGCCGCCTCGCAGTGTGCCGCCACGCAGCCACGCAGCGCGGCCCGTAATTGGCGCCAAGATTTTATTTCGGAAACAAAGGCCGGTCGGCCGGCCGGACGTCCTGCCGCTGCGTGGCGTGGCGTGGCGGCGGCGCCATGCCGGCCGCTCTGCCGCGCTGTCATGGATCGCTGCGGACTAACCTCTAGTTCACCCCGCCACTGTCTTCGGGCCTAGTGGGCCTAGTGGCGTAGCTAGAACCACAGTTATCTCGCGCGATTTCTCATACCCAGCATACGGTATACAGTGTCCCATCCCCTTACAGTGTGAGGCGAAACTAGCGCCGCCATGTCCCCGTGATGACGCGCTTGATTATCGGAATGGCTGTATCCCGGCCAGCACCGCCAGCGCGGGGGACTTGATGGAGGAGGGCGATAGACGCGCGTGCGCGCACCGCCACCAGGTCGCTTAGGGCCGGCCGCGTGACGATGCCCTGTCCGTGTGTGTGTGTGTGTGTGTGATGCGATGCGATGGGGGTGGCATTGATTATGACGACCGCGGGGGCGTGCCGCAGAATTGCCTGCCGTGGCGGAATGAATAGGGGCTGTTGTTCATACACGCTTGTTGTTGTTGTTTGTTTTGCTTGCTTTTGTTGTTGCTGCTACAACGACGGGCAGAGCAGCAGAGCACCAACGCCCCGCGTTGCGGATCTGTAAAAAGAACAAAAACAAAGTTGTTATTTTTTTTTGGAATGAGTGGAATGGAAAGGGCAGGACGAATCGTAAAAGTGGGCACCATTATCCGGCTCATGATAAATTTAGGCGGCGGGTGGCGGTGTGGCGGTGTGGCGGCGCGGTGGTGGTCGGCGTGCGTGGCGCGGTGGCGGCCGCCGGACCTAATCACGAAACAGTTAGCGATGAAAGCGATGCCGGTGTGTCGTGTCGCGCAGTTAATAACAGCCCGGGACATGTCGATGTGTCTATCCAGCCATCTATCCAGCCATCTAGGCGGCCGGCCGGCCGGGCCGGGCCAAGCCATCTCATAGCGAGGCATCGACCGGCAGCGCCGCGCCGTGCTAGCGCCGTGCGGGGCGCGGCGCCAATCGCGTGCCATCGCCGGCAAAACGGGAAAACCCTGGAAAATGAGCTTCTGGGAACCGCGGGACGGAGTGCGCGTCGCCCTTGGCGGGGCGGGGCGGGGCCTTGACGAGACAGTTGTCACTCCAGCCCCGACCCAAACCAGTTCCCCGCGCAGCCCGTATCGTCCACCACCCCGCGGCCTGGCCGCCGTGGCTCGGCCCGGCCGCCCCGCCGCCGTAAAATAGTCCCGCCTAACAATCGGACTGGACCAAGACTTTTATACGGAATCTTGGGTTTCATTCTCATTCCGGGGACAGGGGTTCGGCTGTCGCACTGTCTCCGGGAGGCGCCTGCCCCGCCAGCCCCGCCAGCCCCGCCGGCCCCGCCTGCCCCGGAGCAAGGAGGTGGCGGCAGTTAGATAACCCGAGCCGAAGCACATCGTAATAAAACACACGGTTTGAGACAACGTGAGGAGGTCCTGGAGGTCCTGGAGTCCCTGGAGAGGGGGGCGCCGCCGACCACAAACCGTAATATTTTACCCCGGAGCGCTCAGATTTTTCCCGTGACAAATACAGCGTGTCATCGCGAAGGCCTCGCCTCGGCTCGGGTCGTTTGGATGCACGGCGCGACGAAGCTCAATCAGGGCTGCAGCGCGCGGGCACGGCCAGGGCACGGCCACGGCACGGCCAGGGCACGGCCACAGTTCGAAGGGCCCAAGGGGGCTCGCCCGGAAACTTGATCATGACTTTGATTGGGGCGAGGGGGGTGGGGGGCGCGGCCAAGAAGGCGCAGGCAGAGCAGGCGGCCGTCGAGGGTGCTCGCCGCTCGCCACCCCGAGCCCCTTGTGTTCACCTCCCTCAGCACTTTATCGTGAAGGGGCTCCAAAGGAGCTCCATCCAGGATCCTTGACCCTGCTGCATGGGAACCAACACCATGACGGCGCGCCTTGTGAGTGTAGTGTGTGTGCGTGTGCACGTACGCGTGGCCGGGCCTGTTTGCACACACACACACACACACACACACACACACACACACAGAGGCGCAAAGAGGCGCGGTAATTAATGAGTCGCGAGCGAGGCGACGAGTTTGATTTATTCGCGGCCGTTTTGAAGGAAACGGATTTTGAGGCTCGCTGTTTGCGCTGTTTGCATTTCGCGCGAGGTGCGCGCACATTCACATTCACATTACAGTGGAGGGCACACACGAATTGCGGTAATAACGCGGCGGGGACACGGTCCGCCCCGCCGCCCCAAATTCCGAACACGCCATTATGGGCGCATTCCTTGTAGGACACAACGGCCGTCTATGTGTTCGGGGCGCGGCGGGCGCAGCGGGCGCGGCGGGCAAAGGGGCTCATCGCACGCAGCGGGGACGGCCTCGGGGACGGCCTCGGGGACGGCGACGGCGACAGCGGAATGCCTGGTCGGGCGCACTGGAAGCCGGCCGGTACTTCGGTGTGACTGGCTTCATTAATTTGAGCCGGGGCGGGGCAGCACGGCAGCACGGCAGCACGGCAGTGGCGAGCTTGTCTCGCGTTGTCGCGCCACGCGGCCGTCAGTCTCCACGCCGACTCCGGCCCCATTTTCGCCTGTAATCGTGAGCAGCGGGAGCAGGTCCGCGTTGTAGATGCGGCGACCGATTTCACCCACACCGACCTGAACTCCGGCGAACAGGCAACAGCCGAGGCCCAGCCGATTTTCGTGCCTCGTCGCGTCGGCGCGTCGCTGCCCCGTGTGCGTGCGGGCTGGCTCGGGGCTGGCCCTACGCTGCCTGCACTGTAGGGCACTACAGGGTGGGAGGGGAGGCCGCCCTTCGCACCCTTGCGGCCCTTGGCGCGGGGCTGAAGCGGGGCTGGAGCGGGGCGGACAACAACAGCACAGCGCCGACGCGCCCTGGGGACGACGCGGTGACGCGGCGAGCGTGCTGACGACGCCGCGAGTGCAGTGGCCGTCCAACGAGGTGCGCGTCGAGGCGCCGCGTTGCCTGTTCGTGGGCCTAGAGGGCCTCGGCAAAGACACCACCAGATGGGAGGCGCCATGCTTCGCCTTGCATCGCCTTGCTTCTTGCTTCGCGTGCTGGCGGTCAATTTGGGCGCGCAATAATAACCAGCGTGTTTGGAGGCTCCACGATGGCCCCACCCCCGGCCGTCTTGCCGTCTAGCTCCGCGTCAGCCGGCGTCAGCCCCCCGGACGGCCCGAAGACGCTGCCGCGCTCCGCCGCCACCCCGCCAGGCCAGCAGCGCCCCGCGCGCCGCGCCACGGCAGGGCCCACAGCCCACACCGCCGCACCGCATCGGACTATCGTTGCCCCCCCCCCCCCCCCCAACCCACCCACAGCCCAACCAACCACCCCGCCCACCACGCCGTTGGACGCCGCGGGCGGTGGGCCGCCGCCACCGCCGCCACCCTCGGCAGCGCCAACCTCGCGCCAAGCCACCCCGCCCTCCGGAAGTGCGGCCTTCCCGCCAAAACGCGTCCGTCCTCCATTTCTTTCTTTCGAGTGTGCGTGCTGCGAGCTGTGCGCGCCGCGTGCGCGGTTCGGGTGACGGCGGCCGGCGTCCCCGCGACGCGGTTCAGTTCGGTTCGGTCCGGTCCTGTCGCCGAGCTTCGAGAGTGAAAGCGCAGCGTGGCCAGCGCCCCTCCCTCCCCCTCACGGCGCACGCACTAGAAAAACAAAAGCTGCAGTCGCAGAGCCTCGGCCGCTAAGGCTGCAGCGTGCAGCGGGGTGGTGGGGTGCACAGCACAGCGCGCACTGCACACCAGCCGAGCCGCGCGAGTACAGAAGCTTTGGCGTTATCATTGGTCGCATCTAGCAGCTCTAGCAGCACCCCCCGTCGACGCGTCCCTCCCTGCCTCGCGGCCCTGCCTGCCTGGCTGCCTGCCTGGCTGCCTGCCTGGCTGCCTGCCTGGCTGCCTGCCTGCCAGCCCTGGCGGCCCGGCGCGGCGCTTCCCCCTCCCACCCCGCCGCCGCTCGCACCCCACAAAATCCAACACCTTCTCCGCGTTACCCGCCCTGCCCGCCCCTGTCCCGGCAGTGCGCAGCACACCGCGCGCTCTAGCTTCAGCTATAACGCTTTGTCCGTTATCGCCGGCTTGCATCTCCTGGTTGTTACTAATTTCCCACAATGCCATCCACCCCCTCTCCCCTTTAAAAACCCCGGGCGGCGGGCCGAGCCGCCGAGCCGCGCCGGGCCGCGAAATGTCTC